GGGGGGAGGGGGGGGGAGGAGGGGGAGTGTTTGCTTAAAGTTAGGGAGAAGAGAAAAATCGTGTAAGCTGTGTGGAAGTTCCTCAGGGATGTTTTGGTTAGATGTAAGCTGTTGATAAGTTTTGGAAGCTTGCTTCTGCAGCGTCTGTTGTTCCTAAACATTAATTTGCCGCTATTTACCTGGTGGGGTAGATTTGCCTATTTAGATGAAGTACGTGCAGTGGTGGCAAGTAGAGAGAGCTGAGCATATTTTATTGATGGTTTTCAGTGACTTCGGAAATACCCTTATCTGCTGAACTGCTTTAGAAATAGTGTTAGTATCACTCATTAATCTAAAGATCTCTGGCAGCATTCTTGTTTTGCAGATGCCTAAATTTGCTTCTGTCCATTTTGTTCCAGTGTTATCTCTTCTAACATAAAATTTTGGGGTTATTTATTCTGATGTTTTTAATGTAGGTTTTTAAATTGTGTTCTTAGTTGATTGGTAATACCGTGTGGTATAAATACGCAAAATATGAAGTGATTTTTGTGATAAATGATAAGTGATGAGTGATAAATACCAGCATCCTGAAGTTCCAGCAGACCTGTCTGCTTGCGTTAATGAGGATGCATTGCTAAATGGAGAATATGGCTCCTGATCAATATGACAACATGAATCATAAAGCTCAGTTACTCTGTTGTCCTCATTACAAACAAAGCAGGGTACTGCATCTCAACATGACAGCATATGAAAGTTGTGTTATTTATTACCGTGCAGTAGGCGGAAAATTTCAACTGGCATCCTATATGGAAAAATTATTTCTCCACTTGAAATTTAGGACTTGATTGCAAATTATAAAAGTCTTGTTACTTAATACAGGTTTTGTCTTTTGTCTTCTTTTTTTTCAAAGAGGCTGACAACTGATGGAACATTCTACTAGGAAGAATAAAACGGTTCTTACAAGGTAGTTTGCTCTGATTGGAACAGGATCCATACAAGAAAGCTCTCAACCAACAGTGACTGGGAACACTTGAGAACTTCTGAATGATTGATTGAGGTAACTCAGAAAAAAATATTTGTTGAAATAAAATGCTGTGGGGCAGGGAGGACTTCTTACTACACAAAACTGTTAACTGTTTGGGTTGACATTAGGAAATGCAACATCATGACAGCTTGATACTGTGCCCTAAACCAGAGTTTCTTTATTGCCAACGGTCTGTGATGAATCATTTGCAGTTAATAGGTCTGTGGTAGGCTAGTGGGCATAAGAGGGTGAAAACAAGGAAAGAGAAAAAAAGGGGAAGGGAGTGCTGTCGTTTGGTGTCACAATCTGCTATTCAACGGTAAGCTGTTTTCAGGGCAGCAAAGGATGAGATGGGGGAAAAAAAAAAAAGCCACTGAATTCTTGTGGGGCAGATGCAAATACCAGGAATATTCACAGGACTACAAAGGGATTTGTGAAAATCTTGCAGGTGAAAAAGTGTATGGGGAATTCTGGAGCTGCTTATTTTTTTGTGTACATAAAGGAAAGATGGATTATGCCATCTCTTTCACAGTGATGTTGGGTGGTTTGTAGAATAACAGCTGCTAGGAAGAGGGAGAAAGTAACAGAAAAAGAGAAGTGTTCAACTTTATCCCTTGCAGATTGAATGGTCGTTGCAAGGAGTGTTTGAAGGGCGCAGCAACACAGATGTGAAAGCTTGACAGCTGTATGTACACGTACAGGAAAACAAACATGATGTTCTCGAGGGAAAGAACAAAAACCAGCTTGTCTACTAAGGGCTGGTCTGAACTTGATAAATTGGTACCATTTTATCAGTATAGTTCACCTGAAGAACATTTCTCTTGTGGATACAATTATAACATTGATATTGTATGCTCATGTAGATAACTGCTTTGCAGAATAGGACAGTCTAAGTTGATAGAGGTGGCTTTTATCAACTAAAAAGGCTGCATACAGAGGGCTTTTACCATTAAAGTAACGGCTTTTTTCCTGGTGCCTTCTTTATAAGCAGCAGAACTCACAGCTGCAAAGACATCAAGGCTTAGATAGATGTGTTTGAGGGTGGTGGTGTCTCCTGTTGCACTGTTTATCTTCCCAGGAACTTTTCAGTGGGTATTGATAGTTAATTATAACTTAAAAAAAACCCAAACCATTTTTGCATTGTATTTTGTGAGTAAAGCCTTTGCAGCTTTTTACTTCTTTAAGATTTGGTCTAGTGGTTTTCTTCCGCTAACTTTCTCCATTTTTGTTTAGGCCTTGAAAGGAAAACATTACGACTTTACATTTCACAGTCAGTTCTGTTAATCAACTATGGAAACAGAGAAGGAGCGTGTTTATGTTACCCCAACAGGTAAGTTATATATTCAGTATTTTTTTTATTTAAAATTGCTTAGCTCACCTGCAGTGTTCTTTGTAGAAAAATTGTATCACCTGTTACTTTCTTAACAGTAGTGATCTTAAAAAAAAAAAAAATCTTCATCAAAAATTTACAAAAAAGTTCTTTCAAGTATATATCATAGTATCCTGCTTGATTACATTTATTTTGAAATTTGTTAAAATGATAAAGTTAACATTTCTTCAACTTAATAGAGAGTAGTGACTCTGGACTCCTTATCATCTGACTTCTAGTAGTGCTGGTGTGAAGAAAAGAATAACGTGTAGGTGCATTTGAGAGGTACAAATTCCGCTTATATGTAGCTGTTTAGCTTAAAATTAGAGAAAACAAATGATCAAAGACTTGGAAGTGGGAAGTGGACTCCCCTTGGAAGTGGGCTGGCATGAGAAAATTTTACTGGGCATGCCTTAGAGGCTGCCCTGAAATTGACTGTTTTGTCCATATCACCGGCATGTTTTATGATACTCAGTCAAGTTAACACAGTTTCATGGGTTTTTTTGTGTCTTTCAAAGGTTGTGATGATCTGCACTGACCTTTTTATACCAAAGACGTTTTTTAGGTTTAAAATGTTTTTCAGAAAAAAATCGTGTATATGTTAAGATGGTATCTAATGCAGTTGAAGTGGCAACGTGCTCCATGTGACCTCATTTTTTAAACCAGAATTAGTTTAATGTAGAAGATACATTGATTCTCAGCATTTTCGTATTATATTTGGATAATAGGTGGTAAACTGCTAGGTATCTAAATTGACCTAATTTGGTCAAAGGAAATTTGTGTGTAGGTAAGTACTTTCTGAATGCTTTGTTAATTAAGTTAGCACCATAAAAGCACAGATTTTAAGTGTGCTTGCTAGGCTTAATAGCAGGGTAATAAGATCAATTTGGATAACTTTTTAATATATAGTAAGCAGAGTCTTAATGTTTATAGAACACCGTTATTGCTTTTATATGTGTATGTTATATGATGTAAAAATGAGAAGCTGAAAGGAAGATTTGCATGATTTTATATGTACTTTTAATAAAACTTTTATTTTAGAAAAGTACTGAAAACTAGTATATCTGTTTAACCTTTTTTTTTTCAGCCTGGCTAGGTAACTAATAGTGGAGGGCCAGTTGATCATAGTATTATGGAGAAAGATGTTGCAGTTGGAAATTATTGCGTTATATAAAAAAATAGTTTAGCAATGCAGTGCGAAATACTAAGTCTTATGGGATGGATGCTTCCTGTGGAGGTTTTCCTCTAGTCTTGAACCTGAGAGCAGGGTTGTGTAAGGACATTGGACTGTAGTCTCCCCTTTTATTCTTAGTCATCAGATTCAGGGCTGACCTGTGTTAATTGTTGGTTATTTTCTTTGGAAACTGAGGAAGAAGTATGTGGCCATTGAAGGCTGTAGTTTCTGGACAGCCAGATTTCAGGTCTAAACTGGAGAAATTCATGGGAGAGTGGGCATGAAGAAGAATTCAAATTCAGTTGTCCGAGATGAGCTGGTTGTGCTGATGGGGTCTCCCTGGGGAACGAGAGGAAGGAAACCTGTTCTGTTTGGTTTTGCTTCCCCCCACCCCCCACCCCCCCGGTGCTAGCTTTATGCAAATCTCTCATTGTTTTATTAAAATACTAGACAAACTGAGAAAGCTTGTTGTGGGAATCTTTTCCTGGACGTGATGTATGCTTTTCTTTTTCAGCTTGCTGCAAGCATAAAAGGAATGCTTTGGTGGGAGTAAAGAGTGGAAAGATGAAGCTTAGACTGGAATGGCAGCATTATTGTTCAGCTATAGCGTTCATATCTCTGAACACTAGTATCTAAATGTTATTTCTTTGATCACAAAGGAGGCAGTTGCATCAAACTTTCTTTATTTTGTAGTGTAGTAACCTCTTTGATATGGGTAAATACTTTGAGGTTGGAAATGTTTTATTTGTGCATTTTGCTTTCAAAACAGTTTTTCGTGAACCTGTTTTGAATTGAAAAAGTATACTTCTGAGAAGTACTGCCAAATGAACGTTGCTAATTAGAATGTATTGGAATGGTGAAGTAATACATTTGGCTAAGTTCAAATACAAATGTAAAGTACTCTTCATATTCTGGGTTTATGGCAGTGAACTTTTCCATAAAGCAGGCTTGGCACAGCTGGAAAAGCAGCTTCTTTTGTGTGCGTCATCATTGTGCTTCCTAGGGTTCAGGCTATAGGTTGTATCTTTGAGACTCTACTGAATCCTCTAGAAAAGAAGGGCTCTGTAACAGAGAGCTGAGGCTCTTCCCTTTGCTTGTGTGTTTTCCAGTTTGCAGGGTCTCCCAGGGTACTAACTGGAATGTAAAGTAGGTCCCCAGAGGGTATTTTATCTTGATGGGTTCAGAAGGGGAAGAAGAAATGAAGAAGGCTTTTGCTCTTAACACTCACAGTAAGACATTCTGCTGAAAAAGAACCATACAGCTCAGGTGGGGGACATCCTGACTTTGTGAAATTAAAGACTTGAGATCCAGATTTTAAATGTGCATTTAGCTTCCCAAAAGAGTGAAATTATTGCGCTTCTCAGTGCTCAGACATTTACAGATCCTTAAGCTGTGAGAGCTTTTTGATGGGTATGAAACAAAGCTAGTTACCCAGTATATATGATGTGCTGGGGAATAAACCATGGCCATTTTAGAAACAGTCTTGGCGGAAGCCACAGTGAGGGGCAATCCATAGAGAAGAGGAGGGATCAGACTGTTTCAAAAGGCTTTATTTATTGTATGAGTTTTTGTTACCAAACTTCCCAGGCTTTGAATTAAATGGCTTTTGGTTTCCCCCCCCTAACTTAAAAAAAAAGAGTGATTTTAGTTTTGTATTCTTGTAAGTCTGTATCATTACTTTTCCAGCTGGTGAGCTGTTTGAAATTCCTTGAATGAGGGGAATGTTGGTTGATGATTTAGGAAATTACTTTCACTTTGGTGACTAGTCTTTAACATTAGTGAGTTCTTACGGAATTTACTGTATTGGCAGTTTTGTTTGTTTCTAAATCAAGAGATGAGTGGGTGGAGTGAGAACTAGGCATTTAGATCTTATACGCTGAGGAGTTCCGATAGTTTTGGGTTTGTTGTTGTTTTTTTTTTTGTTTTTTTTTTTTTTAGTTTAACAAGGGTGGGGTTTTCTGTGGTTTACCTGTTTATAAATGGTTTATTCATTTGCTTTCCAACTCTTGACATATGCTCTGTTTAGATTGTGGATAGTTTGTGCAGGGGAATAAGGAACTCCTTATTACTGTGATGTGTAGGCATACTCTAAAGCAAACAACATTTGCTGTAACACTGTTGGAAATAAGAGTTCTGTTTAATGTTGTAATACTTTTAAAATGTAATTTGTTTTGGTATTTTCACATAAAACTGTTTAAAACTGTAACAGATTTTTTTTGCTCTATCTCTTTTTAAGAACTTGAGAATCTAAGTGATGCTCCATTTTCCGGTGATGAAGAAAATGGTGGGTCTGAGGAACGAAAAACTGAAATCAATGGAAATTGGATTCCTGCAACTTCCATTACTGAAGCCAAAATAAATGCTAAAGCAAAGAGGCGGTTGAGGAAAAATTCTTCTAGAGATTCTGGGAGAGGAGACTCTGTTAGTGAAAATGGAGAGACACTGAAGATTGGAGTTGTTGTACCAACGAGCCCAAAAGGGAAACTCCTGGACAGGCGATCCCGATCTGGAAAGGGAAGGGGTCTACCAAAGAAAGGTTGGTATAGTGTGGTGAAGCCAGTAGCATGATAAAGATTCTGTCTGAAATGTAGTAATTTTTTTTTTGCAACGGGGAATCATTTTCATAAGCCACAGTCTGTGCAGGCGTTGCGTTCTGTATGTTAGATAGTAGGTGACAATAGGAGCTAATAGTAGGTGGCATTCTTATCAGAAAACTTTATATGTGTATCAATTAATTTCTGTCTCTAAGGTAAGTACCTTTTCTTAGCAAATTTAATACACAAATTTGAACTGTTGCTGTTTCACAGGACTGTTATTAATGCAAACTTAAAGCATGGTTATGTCTGAAAGTACAGTTTCAACTTTCAGTAATTCTTGTGCAGTTTTATACTGCTTCTAGTATCTTACTGGAAAGTGATAAAAAGACTGGTTGCTAAAGTGGGAACACATCATACAAACACACCCTTTTCAGCATATATTGTTAGAGTCAGGAGGTGGACATGAACAGTCACTCAAGTGAGAAAATGTTGGGTTGAACTCAGAAGTATTCTTTGTAAAGTGTTGGGTTTTGCTTACTGTCCCATATTTTTGCTAGGTGGAGCAGGTGGTAAAGGAGTTTGGGGAACACCAGGTCAAGTGTATGATGTGGAAGAAGTAGATATTAAAGATCCTAATTATGATGATGACCAGGTAGGCAAATAATTATTGTAGTGTTGGTTTTTATTTCCTTCATTGGTTTCAGTTGCTGTGATGCTCATATTAATGAAAGTTTGACCTTGTAGGTTATGTGAATGTCAGCCTGGCTGTACTAAATGTTCATTTTTATGTTCGAGAATGGATTATTGGCTAGTTAAAGACAACTGGTGTAGAAGTGTTGCAGTGTAACACTCAGATCTTACCTCACAAGCTCTCTTTCTGTGCCTGACTAGGCAGCACACGTTTCCCAGGTGTGTTCTTTCCCTGCTGGTTCTCATGGAGGTGAATGTGGCAATGCTGCTCTATATTGCAAACAGGCACCACGTTAAAAACACAACATGGACTTTCTCAAGTGGGGAGCTTTGTCTGGGAAAGTATCCCTTACAGATTTTTCTCTTCTCTGTATTCCCAACCCTCCCAATATCTTTTATCTACTTGGTATAAATACTTCAAACCAAAGCAAAGTTCATAGCCTAGATATTTTGTTTGCATGTATTTATTTTAGGATATGTTGTGGAAGATTGTACCTTACAGACACGTTACTGGGGGGCGGGGGGAATAGAAGTAAAGATTATTGGGCAAAGGGTGCTTTATAACATTAAATCACTGGGGAAGGGAAATGCTGATTACAAACACAGATTACTAAAGCCTCTGAGATCAATACAATTGTGAGACCCTAAGTAAATTCTGTGTAACATAAGCAAAGCGGTGGTGGTGTCCTTTGAGCAGAGGTTGGTTGTTGTAGCCATAGATGCTGAGAGGATGGTATGTGGGAATATCAAAACCTTCTTCCAGTATCAGTTTTTTCCCTGCAATTCAACAGTTTACCTGAGCAGAGATAGCTGTTAAAGATGAAACGGATGACTGCATAAAAGCAAGTTTAATGAAGAATAAATATTCCATTGAACTTCTGCTTTGCATCTGTAAGGTTGAAAACAGAGACTGATGTGGTGGAAGGATAGGCTTTTGGACTTCTAGATCATGGAAAGCTTCTTTCCAATAAGCATTAGTTGGAAGACTTCTTTGTTCAGATTTCTGTGTTCTGTAGTATTGCTCTGAAAGTTACTTCCGTAGTGTGTGAGGAATAGGTGGGGAGATCTGGTTGTGCTGGAACTCTGCAAGACCGGGTTATACAGGCGGCCATTGCTGTGTTACCCTTTTTTCCCCTTAGGGAACGTCTTCACTCACAAGTATTCTGAAAATGCCTTTTCTCTGATCTGTACGTGCTATCACCTGTCTGGTCAAGCAGACGCTAAGAAAGAGGGAAAACGGGCAGGCTTGCTGTCAGGGACTGGAGTGCCACTTGCAGGGAAAGATGCTGAAACTTAAATCTTGTGCTACGGCACAGCAAACTCTGCTGGGATGGGACAGGGGTTTCTGTCGCTCTCCTTTCAGTACGTAGCACATAGATACTTGATCTCTGTGTTCATGTGGTGTCATCAGAATCCTAGGAACAGAGTTTGGAGTGTTAACCATTATTTAACAGTAAATTCAGCCTTTCAGTTGAATTCAGCTAACGGTGAGTTCAAAATAGAAGCATGACATTTAGCCAGCATTGTCCACACTTTAATGGTACAGACATAATCTGATGTTTTCTGGCAGAATACTGACTACCAAAGCAGTAAGGATTTAGAAGATATGTTTTGATGCTATTAGCGCTGCATAAGATGTAAGAGACAGTACTGTTTACAAAACTGTATATGCTTTTGTTGTATTTTGAAACAGGAGAACTGTGTCTATGAAACAGTAGTTTTACCTCTGGATGAAAGAGCATTTGAAAAAACTTTAACACCAATCATACAGGAATATTTTGAACATGGAGATACTAACGAAGTTTCGGTATGTTACATGCCTTTTTACATATTTATTTTAGGGGGCAAACCTGTAGCATACAAGGGAATCCAACTGCTAGCTATAAATGAGAGTATAGAGATGTTGGCAAGAAATGTGCAATAAGAATACCTAAGCAATTAGATTCATTACATAAGCAGAAGCATATATGTAAATATATTAAATATAAGCATGTAAATATTTATATATTTGTAATATATTTATATAATATATATTTATGTAATAAGAATTATGAAATCTTAATCTGTTTTGTTTTTCAAATCTTCTTTAGGAGATGCTGAAGGACTTAAACCTTGGCGAAATGAAATACAGTGTGCCAGTGCTGGCTGTTTCCTTGGCATTAGAGGGGAAGGCTAGTCACAGGGAAATGACATCTAAGCTTATCTCTGACCTTTGTGGAACAGTAGTAAGCAAAACTGATGTGGAAAAATCATTTGATAGACTGCTTAAAGAACTACCTGAATTGGTGTTGGATTCTCCCAAGGCACCACAGGTATATTTGTAAAGTTTTATGCTAGTAGTCAAAAGCTTTTTCTTTTAGATTGTTCCTAGAATTGATCAAGTAAACTGAAATAGACTCTGTATTTTGAAAAATACCTATGGATTGTCTTACTGTCTGTATTCCCCTACAAATTTCCCAGGCTCTGCTTTTACTTTAAGATGGCTCATTTAAATAAAATCTGAAGACTAAGCACGTTGTAACTGTCTACTCAGAACTACTTTGAAATTCAACATTTAATTAAAAATGCTTCTGTTTTTTTTGCAGTTGGTGGGCCAGTTTATTGCTAGAGCTGTTGGAGATGGTATTCTAAGCAATACCTACATAGATGGCTACAAAGGCACTGTGGATTGCATCCAAGCTCGGTAACTTTCTTGCTTTTTACACAGCTACAGTTTTCTATTCCGAATGCCAAAGATGATGATCAGGAATTTAGGATGTCAGGATAAATCATGTGGTTCTTTAACTCTGTTTCTTTAATGATAAAAAAGAAACCCACAAAGTCTGCAATGACAACAACAGTAAAATCCAGAATGACTCTGGTTAGAGGAGAAACACTGAAAGTACCTGAAAAATGTATTGATACATTTGAGTTCAGTTTGTCACATTTGTTGTCCAGCTTATGTTTGAGGGTGGAAAAAAAAAAATGAGCTGAAACAAGAAGTGATTATAGAAGGTTTTGTCTTTAGAGAAAGCTTTAATGTGATTAATGAGTAAATATAGCATCAGGACAGCTGCTGTAAATATGTTGTGAAATGCACAAGGGATTAACTGTTTTGCCTTATAAAGGTTTGAAGCTCATACAGTGCTTTCCCAGACTTTCTCTGTAATGCTTTATTCATCAAGAAGTATAACACTTTTCCATGTCAGGGTGAGAAATTTGAAGAAGCAATCTCTGACAAAGAGGGACATTTTAATAACTAGTCATGTTTTATTATTTTTCCCTCGTAAGTGTATGTTTTGGGCTTGATACGGAGGTGCTGAACTCTTGTAGCTTCTGAAAGTTCCATTTGTAATAATTATAGTTAGGTACTCTCAGAAGGCAGACAATTGCTTAGCTGTCTAACTTGAGGGTTCAAATTGAGCAAATTGCCTGTCAGTTATACAGATGTCTCCTGTGATTTGAAGGATTGTAGCCTGCATACTGTGCATCTGGGATGCTTTGCTGCCTTTGCTAATTCTTGGCCAGTCTTTTCTGCTCGTTAAGTCTTGGTGAATAGAGTTATTTTTATTGGCTAGCCCTGAATATGAGGATTGGAATAACTTTCCTTCTTGCATAAGAAGGAAGCCTATCTCTGCATAAGAAAATATTAAGTTCTTTCTTGTGAGGATGTTTTCAGGTTCTGCATTGATGATTCAGGTCTGCTGCCATCACAGACTGTTACCTGTCCTAAGCATGGTATAACCAAAAGTGTTATCCACTTCTTGATCCAGATGTCCCCATGGAGTTGCTAACTCTCACCTCTTCCCAGGGATCCGGTCGCTTTGCCCAAAGAGGCATAGCAGTGGGGGAAATTACAGATGTTCTGTAATAACTTTTTAAAACACTAACTTTGCTTTCTAGAGCTGCGCTGGACCGAGCTACTGTGTTGCTGAGCATGACAAAGGGTGGAAAGCGTATAGACAATGTGTGGGGGTCAGGAGGTGGCCAGCAGTCTGTGAAACACCTTGTTAAAGAGGTAACTGACTTCTACAAAACTCTCCTCTCTAGAGTTTACTGCTTGTCTAAGCTTATCTTGTTTGGTATGGAGCAAAGAGATACCTATATCTTCTAGCAAAATGATGTCTTGAGTATTGGTTTTGGGTTGTTTTTTTTTAATGTAACTTATTTATACAAAGTAGTTTTTAAACTAATGTAGATAATTTTGTTGATTTTGTAGTATTTGTCAGTGGTGGGAACATGCTAGTACAATATTCTGTATTGCAAGTATACATTTAATTTTGCTTTAAGCAAAACTTTCAAGCTCTTAGCTTTTTAAGAGCTTACAGTATGAAGTGGTGAAGTAATTAGAGCCAAGGTGAAACTGGCTAAACTAGATAAACTATTATTTTTGGCATCACTGATTAAAAGCACAGTACTACCTGAAAAAAGAGAGGAAGAAACAGGAATGTTTATAAAGATCCATGCTACGAAGTAGGCAGGTTTAAAGGAAAACTTATGCTATAATTTCTAGGTTGTGAGCGTAACAGGTGATAGGAGGAGGAGTTCAGGGGAGAAGATAAACTCAATCTTACCCATATTAACCTTTTATGGTGATACACATCTTATAAAGCAATGTTTTTGGTGCTTGTGTGTCTGTATTAACACTATGGATCGGTATTTGGCTTACACTGTGTTTCAGGTTGCTGATGACATCTCAATTTGATTTATAAAAATGCAGCAAATTTCAGTAACTAACGTGCTGCTGGGTTGATCACAGATTATCAAAACAGTGGACAGCTTTTAAATTTTATATCTAATCAGTGCTGGGCTTCTTGTTTGTTTTAAAATTCAACAGATTGATATGCTGCTGAAAGAATATTTGCTTTCCGGAGATGTACTGGAAGCTGAACGTTGCCTTCAGGAACTGGAAGTACCCCATTTTCACCATGAACTTGTGTATGAAGTAAGGAAACATCAGAGTCCTTTTAATAATTGTCAGTAATACCGACAGGTTTGGTTTTGTTTTGATGTGGGCATGCAAATAATATAACTGGAATCTGAAGCTCTGATTGCGAGTTCTGGTGTTATTTGAATAACTAAATTGTTTCATGTAAAGTTAATGGTTTGTGTGCTTGTTTGTGCAACGCGTAAGATGCTGCTAACTCTGGGTAGATCCAGAATTAAATTTTTGTTTGTTGGGTAAATAGCTGAGTTCAGATTATTATTGATTCCTGAAAAAAAAAAGAGTTGAGTTTATTTTCTGCCGAGGAATAGCAGCAAAAAGCCATGCTTTGTTTTGGTGCTTATTTCCTTTTAGTTTCAGATATCTGGGTATTCTGATGGGTGTTAACTCTCTTTGTTACGTTATACAGCCTCCTGTTCAGGGTGGAGTTGTTCCATCTAGCACATTTGTAAAAGCTCTGAGATGTTTCAGAACCAGACTATATGAGAGAAAGATCATCTTTGCTATATCTGGGAGACTGTTCCCGTTTGTACTCTTTGGCCAAACTGGGAAATGGTTGTTTAGCAATAAAGCTGAACTCCCACAAGCTACAAAACTTTCTCTTCAGTAAATTGACTCCATTTAGAAAATTTGTCACAATAGAAAATGAGAATCCTCTTAGTTGATGGGGGTTGTGAAGATTTGTAGATTTTTAAACTCTTAAGTTCTTCTAAAATCACAGAGGCAAAAAAATCAAAATAATTTCAAAAAATTAATTGCCATCTGTACTGCAGCAACCATGTGGATATAGTCATGTATCTCTCAAACCAGAGCCAGAAAGGGAATGCTTTTCATGTCTAGTCCTTCCTGGTTTTTCATACCTTTTATATTTATCCAAATAACTTACATCAGTTTTTCTTTTCAACTAATATACTGAAATTGTGAGTGCATGTAGCAAATGGACTTGTCTCCCCAGAAAATGCATCATAATGCATTCCTTTTTGCACTTCATATGGTTACAAAACATGTACTTGAACCACTTGCCTGATTTGTTTTAGGCTGTTGTGATGGTTTTGGAGTCAACTGGAGAAAAGACCTTTAAAATGATACTGGATTTGTTGAAATCCCTCTGGAGGTCTTCTGTCATTACTATGGACCAAATGAAAAGAGTAAGTGTGGCATTTAGACAATTCTGCGTAAGGTCTTTCAAAATTTGTGTAGTGTTTACTTTCTTTTAAGTACTATTTGTAGTCTATTGCTGACTGCTACTCTTTATTAAATTCTCCATGGTCATTCTGTGTCACATACAAATAATCTGTTACTGATGTATGTACAATACTTGTCATGTACTGGAAGTACAAATGAATTCTGAGCAGTAGTTCTCTGTAAAACTGTGAGGTATAGAATATTTGAATGTTCAGTCAAAGATTCCAAACTGCTTTTATACAATTAAATGGTTAAAACTAATAATTTAAAATGCTGCACTACAGCTTCATTTTTCTTAAATGTAATTTTTCTTTTTGTACAGTTCTTCATAATTCAAGAAGTACAATAAGGACCCACTTAATTACAAATGTGAATTAGAACAGTATATAGAAGCTAATATTTTACACAGTTAGAGTCATCCATGGCTTTGCTTCTAGGTATGAATATAGGACAGCTGTTCTATCCCAGGGCAAACTAGGTACCACACAAAGACTTGAGTCAAAATTTACCCAGCCATACTGCTGGTAGGAAGTGAAGTCATCTTTCATTGTCATCAGTATTTCCCTTACTGCATAAAATGTTGTGGTGGAGATTTGTGGCCCCATTTTCTTCATTTACATGGAAGAATAATTAACTTTTCCTTCCTTGCTCCCATACAAGAGCAGCCAGGCTAACATACACATTCTGTACTGTCTGGATTTCTGGATTCTAAAGAAATTAAAAATTCAGCTGATGTTTTTACGTAGATAGGTAGTTGTGTAAATACCATGGTATTGGCTGGTATTATACTTTATTTTTCCACTGATTTGCAGCTGCTCTGCTTTAGGTTTGTTGAAACTGTCCATAGTGTACTTGAAACTATATTGAAAAAATAAATCCTCCAAGTGCAAAGGGGTATTTAAAAAAATTGTAATAAAATCATAGAATAACCAGATCATTATTTGTATTTTTACTCTGCAGGGCTATGAACGAGTTTACCGTGAAATCCCAGACATTAACCTGGATGTGCCACACTCCTATTCTGTGCTTGAGCGGTTTGTAGAAGAATGCTTTCAGGCTGGAATAATCTCCAAACCACTGAGAGACCTCTGTCCTTCAAGGTACTTGTTTTATTGTAGATAGGTGAAGGCACTGCTTTTTGTCCCCATTGTAGGTAACAGAAAGCAGGATCTCATGACCAAAGTATTACAGATTGGAACTGGAAACTATGGAGGCTGGAGAAACAGAGAGTTGGACTGGTAAAAAAGTTTATTAAGAAGCTGCAGTGATGGGAAACCTGTTATGTGGAGGCTGGGATAAATACTTAAGGGAAGTAAGCCTCTGGTGAGTCCCAGGCAGCACACCTCTGTGCTCTCCAGAGGATGAAGGCCTGTCTCTCCTGTTTTGATGATTTGCTTGGTAGAGATCAGTGCAGTACTGAGATGGGAGATTCAGGTGTCACAATGATCCATGCAGGTGACAGTGCAAAACTGTCAGCTACAGTGGAGAGGAAAAAAAAAAAACAAACATTTGCTTTTAAGCAATGACTTGAACATACCAAACAGCATGACTAGAGTTCTGAAACAAGACAAACAATCCTAATCTTTATGGCAAAAGGGAGTAGGATGTTTATGTGCAATAAGCTCTACACACCTGATCCATTCATATCTGTCCTATGGTTTGTATAGTGCTTTTTGTTTTGTTATTGTTTACTTAGCATAAATAATGTAGCTAATCTAATCAGTATTCTGTAGCTAATAACTAATAGCTAATAATAGTAACTGTAGCTAATCATTATTCTGTCCTCTCCTTACTGGTCACAATACAATTCATAAGTTACATTTCTTCTGGGGAATATGAATAAATTTTATGTTAAAACTGTTATTCACAATTTACATATAGGGAATACTATTTGTTAGACAGATCTTTTCCAGTTTGGGTGTTCTGTTAGGCTTCTTAAACCTGCTTGACAACCGGTGAGGAATTCGGCGTCAGCGTCTTTATCAAAACCAGCCTCTATCAGCAGGCTTCAGACTTAACATCGAGTTTGTGTGTATCTTGGTATCAAATGTTTTGCAGGTTTGGGATGTGGGAGGGTTGAAAGTCATTGCTGCAACAAAAGTTTGATTATACTTCAGTTATTACTACATTGGGAGGCATTTTTGGCTTATGTACTTCAGTTTTGAGTAGAAAAACACCATTCCTAGGCTTTCAAACTAGGATCTTCTGCAAGTGTGAACACTAAAAGGTGAGCAAAGTAGGAAGCGCTTGACAACACAAATTTTGAAAAGATTCTTGCAAACAAACCTAGATGCAAGATTCAGCTGGATTTGAATCAGTTGACCAGTGATCAAGAACGTCAGCTAATCTTGCTGAACTTGCACACCTTTTATTTGACTCCCAAGACAAGATTCTTTGCAGTGATAGATAAGAAAACACAAGTGATGCTACTTTGAACTTACTGAAAAGATACTTTTCACTTACAGGGGCAGAAAGCGTTTTGTGAGTGAAGGAGATGGAGGTCGTCTGAAGCTAGAAAGCTACTGAATGTGAGAACCAACTCCTGAAGCCTTAAAAGTTGAAAGGGAAAGTAGATATCTATATATATACAAACACGCATGCTTTTTTGTGTGTGTATGTATATATGTATACACATATATAATATACCAAAATTTTAAGAGTTGCCTAGCACAGTTCATATTTTTTTAAAAGCACATGTTTTGGGTACAAATCGTTTTTTTTAAATAGTTTTATAAATTTCAGAAAGAAAACTTCTTTCTTTGGGCATATAGTAGAACAACTGGCCACTCTGCTCTGGGGGTGCCTTCAAATAAGCTACCTTTTAAAGTGCCATATGTTTATGACCTAATCATTCCATGTTTGCATCGATGTCTGACTGCCACTCTTTCTTTCAAGGACAGTGTTGTCATCGTAAAATCACTGGTTTACACAAAGCTTTATAGAAGGGTCAAGTTAAGCTGCTGTGATCTCATTTCCATTGCTGCTGAAGAAATACTGTGCTTTGGGAGAAAAAATAGCTATTTTTAAAGAGCCCAAGAAAATGGAGTTGGGTCATAAGATTAATTCATCTGTTCCAGGGGAGAACACTGGTTGGTTTTAGCCCCCATGTACCAAACTTGTCTTTTTTTTTTTTTTGTAACTGGAAAAGGGAAAAGTTCTGGTAAAACATATTAAAAAATTTTTTTTTTTGTAACTGGAAAAGTGAAAAGTTCTGGTAAAACATATTAAAAAAATATTTTTTGTGAAGCTCTCCTTTCTGCTTTTTTTTTTTTTTTAAACTGGAACAAATTTAACTGTGTTCAAATCTCTGAAGTAGATGCACAGCTTCTTTGCATGCAACACCACTCTTTTGTATTACTGCTAGAGCAAGTCCCGAGGAAGCCATGAAGATGATGAGAGGGCTGGAGCACCTCTCCAATGAGGACAGGCTCAGAGAGTTGGGGTTGTTCAGCCTGGAGAAGAGAAGGCTCTGGGGAGACCCCCCTTCCAGTACCTAAAGGGGGCCTACAGGAAAGATGGGGACAGGCTCTTGGTCAGGGAGTATAGCAATAGGATGAGGGGTAATGGCTTCAAACTGGAAGAGGGAAGAATTAGATTAGATATGAGAAAAAATTTTCACTACGAGGGTGTTGAGACACTGGCACAGGTTGCCCAGAGAAGATGTGGCTGCTCTATCCCTGGAGGTGTTCCAGGCCAGGTTGGATGTGGGTTTGAGCAACCTGGTCTAGTGGGAGGCGTCCCTGCCCATGGTAGGGGGTTTAAGGTCCCTTCCAACCTAAACTGTTCTATGATGATTCCATTACAATCTGTAGAAGAGCACTGAGTAATTAAACCCATGGTAAGTATTTACCAAATATGTTTTTGAAAACAAGTGCCATGCGTAGGAGCATCCCACCTGGCACCAAGATACTCCGAATGTGTCTGTGCAGGACAGCTTTGCCAGGCCCTTTCTCCAGAATCAAACGCATCTACGGCAGCCCTTACAGCAGCACGGCGGACCCCTCCCGCTCCCTGACCTTTATCAGTTTCGTGTCAGAGCTGAAAGCGACAAGTGGAACTTGGACGGAAAAAACGCCAGAAACGGAGCCTCCCGCCCCCCGTCCAGCAGCCCCGCCTGCGCCCCGGGCCAGCCCTTCATCCGCAACCATCCGCGGTACCTCCGGGCTAGGGCCGGGGCGGCGGTGTCCCCTCGGGCGGCCGCGACGCCTCCAGCGCCGCCCGCTGCAGCTTCTCCAGCTTCTTCAGCGACACCGACCTGGGGGG